GGCGGGCGCTGCCGCCCCTGGCCGCGCCCGGGGCGTTTTGCAGCCTGAAGGCATTGCAGCGTCATCACGCCCTCGCACAGTGGCGTCACCACAAACTATGATGTCACTATCACAAAAGGGCACAAGCATGCATCACAGCCGTGAGGTCGCCAGTACACTGCCGTGGCCCTCATCCTAGTTACCCCGGGTGGCGTGGGACGGGTATGGGCCAAAGCAGCCTCCTGTGGAGGGCACAGCTGTGGTAGGAGTGAAAAAAGTCAGGAAGATAAGCTGTACTGGAATTAAAGGATATCCCTACGGCGACCCAGGGTCAGCCGTCGCGCCTCGACAGGAGCGGTGGCGACAAAAGTCCCCCACCGGTCCCTGTTTCGTGCCTGTTGCTTTGCCTCGTTCAAAGCAGCATCCATCCACCTGCTCCTAGCCGCAGCCTGGGCGCCGTCCCCGCAGACTTTCCAGCCCCTAATGCACCTGCCTATAATCCTGCCCCGAGCCAGGAAGGACACTAGGGCTCAAAACATCAGGAACAGGAGAGCAACGAGCTCCAACGCCCGTCCTCGGCGCCCGCTGGGGAGGATGAACTGCCGCCGCCTTCCCTTGTTGGGGCCGAGCCAGATTTGCACGAGCTGTTCCTGCCAGCCCCAGGCTCTGTTAACTGTAGAAGTGCCGCTTTTTATTTTCAGGCAGGCGTACAATAGAAGCAGAAGATCAAATTCACCCGCAAACAGCGCTGAAAGTAAGCTGATTTGAGTCCAGCTACCCAAAACATCGGCGGTTGAAGTTCCCTCTTTCTGTGGCTGATTCAGACTGGGGCAGCGTGACTGGATACAAGGGGAGTCTTAGCCAGCAGCGTTTCCACCTGGGGTATTTAGTGTGCTGATGGATGTGCCTATTGCAATGGCTGAAACACTGCTGACAGTCTGGCCTGTACCAAACTTTACCAGAGCAGCAAGAGCAGCTCAGGCTACCAGTTAAAGGTGCCTTATCTCATGTTCTCAACACCAGCTACAGCAAAGTGTTAATTCCCAGTATTCACAGACTTCTCCAATTTAAAACTAGCCTCTTTTTCATTGTTCAGTGAATATGAGTTGGTTGATATGAATATAAATACAGTGACTGTTTGTTTCAATAGACTTCTAATACCATACAGTAGGAGCTGTCATTCTTTATTGGTATTTTTCAGTAAGAAATCTAATTTGCTGAAGAATGTTGAAATTGATAACATACTGACAAACAACAGTTTCCCTTTAAATAATGATGAGCAAAGTTTGGTTTTTTTAATGCCAGCATGGTTGTATAAATGAGGTATGTATGTGATGTACAGTGTTTCTTTACCTGCCCTTTTTCTCATGTGCTTGTTGGGAGTTCTCTTCCAAAGCAGAACACGTGGAAAGCTAGACATAGTTGGCCATATGCACATGCTTATTCCATTAGCGGAGATTTTCACCGAGTTTGTGAATTCCTATCACCTCATAATGATTCCTACACGCACACACACAAACACAAAAGTTCTTGGATCTTTGTAAGGAATTTGCAAGATTTGCTTTAAACACGTAAGTCATTAGAGCTTATCTTTGCTAAGTTGTTGATAACAGAGAGTAACAGGATTCCCAATTTCTAATCCTATAGTCAGCCCAACTTTCTTATGTTATCCAAACCAGTACACCTCAGTCTATCCTTGAAAGATGATTTCTGCTGTAACAGCATTCTTTGTGATGTAAATAACAGGCCATGAAGAACTATGCTGAAATTCTCTGGTACTGCAAGTCGGTTACTAAATGTCTACTGAAAAACCATTCGATGAACTCCCACCAACTCAGCCTGGATGAAAACAATTTTTAAACTGGAAAAGAAACACAAGTGTAACCAAGAAAATATCCTAACTCATCTCAATATTTTAAAAAACTCAAAACCACCTACCAATTCTCTGACATTTATTTTATATATTGCAGATTCTTCAGCAACAGCTGGAATCCTTTAAGACTCTTCGGCAACAGATTCTGGAGAATGTTAACATGGTAAAAGTGGACTCCAATACTCTTAAAATAAAGATAAAGCCTCCTCCTGAGATTTTAGATACTGCCATAGGTATTTTAACCAAGATCTAAAGTTATTTTTAATTAGGTACATTAACTATGTGTTTAATCATCTGTTAATCCTAAAATAGCTGATAAAATAATCCACTTGTAGGTTCTTGTAGTTTCCTAATCATAATATTATTTGGGGGCTTACAAAGACTATCGAAAAATAAGAAAAACCTAGGAGAAAGAAACTGAGTGGGGAAAAACAGAAAAGGATTAGATAGCCTTTATATCACTATAAACTCAAGAAAGCTCTGTTGTTTTCAAAGAACTTAATTCCACTTTATGTCACTGTCAGTAGACAGCAGAACCTGCTCCACTGTTCCAAACTGCCATGTTTCACAAAACGCTAGGCCAGCCTTTCAGGAGCATTTTTCTGCCATCATCGTATCTCTTTCTTTATATAGAAATGAAAGGTCTGATGCTGGAAGGACATTTAACTTTACATATTCTTGGTTATACACAATTCCATATTCCTGCAACACCTCCGTTTAGTCTCTCTCTCCTAAGAAAGAACTTCTTGATTAATAGGACATTTTCCAAAAATTAAATATTTTACATTTAAAATTTTTTTTTCCAATCTCAATCTTTTCCAGGTACAGTCTGAAATCAGTGAGATACTAAATAAAAATATAATTGAAAGGAAAACTCCACTGTGTAGCTCAGACGAGACACTGATGATTAGCACACCAAATGATGTGTATCTGGTACGTTTACCAGTTTTTACCTACAAACAAATTACTCTTTAAAGACGTTGCTGGGCTGTGGGCTTTGAGAGTTGCATGTTTTCTGTAAAAACATAACCCAAGGGATATCATGGAGAGAAAAAAAAATAGTATCTTCTCCCTGAAGCTTTTCTCTAGTACAACTTTGCCATAATTCTGCAACAAAATAGTTCTCAAAGTCTTCACTACAAATACAGCCATGGGAAGACCTACGTATACTGTTCTTCCCCTTCCCCCACTATGATTAAAGCTCAGTTTCTTTTCTGCACAGACAAGACTTCACCTAATCTTCCAAAAATTCACTTGGATTATATTCAATAGACATGGAACGCAATACAAAGAGTATAGGGAGACAGATTAGGGAGTCACGGAAGAGAAAGGAGGAGATGGAATAAATTTTATCCTCCTCCTATGAAATTCAGCATAAACCCTACTTTTTCTGCATATTTAGTGTGAACTCCAGTTATCCCTTATTTCACAGGGACAGGGATGATAAAACAATTATTTGGAACTACAGTCTGTTAGCTCTCGTAGGTCATCTCTCCTCTGTTTGAAATACACCTAAAAAACTTAAGATGCTTATTCAGTGTTTTGGGCCTACTTCAAAGCCCAATATTAAATGAAGTGGGGCATATGATAACTTCTTATTTTTGTTGCTCACCTCTGCTTCTCTTTTTTTAATGACAAATAGGTACGTGACATTGGCAGATAAACTGTACGAGTCTTGATTGATGTGGCCTTAATAACAATTTAGTTGTCTTATGCTTTCAGTACTGCAATTTATTAATTTTTTGTTTAACCATTCTTACAGCATAAGAGATTTTGTACTTTTGTTTTTTATTTTGTGGGGTAGCCTGCAGAAAATCCTGAATCACCATTTTCTATGAAAAACGTTCATCATGATCAACGACCCTGTACTGATGAGCGTGTGGAAGCAAATTCCAATACTGGAAATACAGTCAGTGATATAAAATTTTCACATAGTATTTCACTGAAAACCATAGCAACTGGAAAGGTAGAAAATTCTGAAGATCTAATCGGAAACACAACAATACTTGCACTAAAAAATGAATATAAATGCCATTTGCTCCCTGGTGCTGAACTGGAGACAGAACATTTGAATGCTGCCCATGGAAAGGTAATCTTGAATGAATCTAAACTTTCCATACTTTCTCCCAAATACGGCAAAGAATCTTATGTAGCAGACAACATTAACTATCTTAACAAGTCATTGAAACAAGAATTTCACAAGTCAGTCAGTAATGATTCCGATTTGTTAGAACATAATACAGAAAAATCTGGCTTTTTATGCAGAGAAAAATTAGACATAAAATCAAAAGAAAATGCAGAAACTGCAGGCTCTTTAGATGGATCACATATTGTTCCGGTGTCACTTAAAGAAAGTGGCCTACATTTTGATCCAGAATTTTATGAAGACCCTAAATGTGTCAACACATGGGGTTCTTCTATAACAGTATGCAATGAACAAGCAGAATCTGAAAGCAAAAATGGACATAAAGAGATTAGAAGCAATTACAGTGAAGGTGACAGATTCCAGGTTAATTTTCTTTCCAAAATGGTGAAAGATGACTTAATAATGCTTGATCATAAAGAGCATGTAGAAAAAGAAGAACAACTGAATATTTTAAATCAAAAACTAATGAGGCTTGGAAGTCAGAAATTCAGTGAAAGCAAAGTAGCCTGTGAATATGAAGGGAAAACTGAAGCGTTGCAGAAGTCCCTGAAAAATTCGGAACATTTGCAAAACAGAGTACATGATCTTGAGAATGAAAATTTAATTCTCAAGAACAAAGTGAAACCTCTTAATGTTACCATACAGTCTTTGAAAGGAAAAATATCAAAATATGATAAGCAAATTCAGGATTTAGCTGAAGAAAAGAAAAGGATGCAAAGCCAGTTAGCTAAATCAGAAGACGACAGCAAGGAACGTATTAAGGAAGTAAAGAAGTTGTTAAGAAAATGTAAAGAACTCCAGAATCAGAAAAAAATCCTTGAGGAAGAGAGGAATCAACTCTACAATGGAAGCCAACATACAATGCAGGCACTGCATGATTTTCCAATTAAGAACCAGAAAGTAGAGGAAGAGATGACTGTTGTTACCTGTGAAAAAGAAAGGCTCAAGGCAATGCTAGAGTCCTTGCAAGAGAAATGTTCCATGTTACAGGAAGCAAACAAAAAACTTGAAGTGGACACCTCCCATCTTATGAAAGAAAAGAATTCCCTAGAGGGAGAGCTTGAAAGAAATCAGAGCGAAATACAGCAAATGAAAGAAAAAGAAACTGCAACAAAATCTGAACTGGAGACCCTTCTTCAGTTAATGCAGACACTGGAAGACAAAAAACTTAACCTTGAAATGACCCTGCAGGAATGTTCTAATACTAAACAGATGCTGCAGAAGGACTTTGAGAAAGTCCAGTCAGATAAAGCTCGTACAGAAAACAAACTGATGACTCAACTCAGAAATGCAAAAGCAGATATTGATCTTTTAAAATCTAATTTGACCAATGCGGACAGAGAATGTGAGAGGTTATCAACGGCAATAACTAATGTCACAGAGGAAAATCAGTTACTTAAGAAAGAGCTTCAGGAATACAGACAAGGAGCTTCCAAATACGAAAGTGACATTAGGAAACTGACTGAGGAACGCCTGCTATTAGAAAATCATCTGCGGACTGTTGAAAATGAGAGAGATGTATTACAGTTTGAATTCCGCCATCTGCATAAGGATTATGCTTATCTCCGGGGCCGAGCTACGGCTCTAGTCCGTGGGCAGAGGAAGCCTGGTTACAGTTCTGGCATCAAGCAAGATTACTGTTGCTCGGAATATTCCACTGAAATTTGCAAAGAAACTTCTGATCCAAAATATACAGCTTTGGAATGCCATTCACAAGGTATGAGCTTTATTTTGCAGTATCTCATTAGCAATCTTTTTGTTCTCTAACTTCACTGAACATCATTTGTCATCCTCATCTGGTTTTTCTGGTAAGACTATTACCAGCACTGTATATTACTTCAGGTTTTAACTAGGAAAATTATAGATTTGGTTATTGTTATTGTTAAGTCTGATGCCAGCTTAAGAATACCTTATTAAGGAAAAAGAGATTTCTGAAAGAGATTCTACAGAACGTCTGTATTCTTGTAAAACAAAACTACCACGAGGGTTTGCTCCAGTGCATACAAAAAGTTTGGGAAGTTTTCCATTTGAATGCAGTGAGCTCTAGGTTGATCTCTAAATGCAATAATTCTTGGGTATGGGTTTTTTCTGTTAGTATCCTGAAGTGTCTCCAGAAAACAGTTTCTCCCACCTTTTAAAGAAAGAAACTGCTTTTCTTTTCCAGGTATTTCCTGTTAATCTACAACAGGCTCTTGCTTCAAAGAAATTGTAATAAACATTTTTCTTTTAAATGTTATAATACTGATGTCCAGTCACTTCCATGTGTTTTGTGATGTCCTAAAAAGAAGTTATCAATTCTTGTGAAGCTTCACAACAGGGAATTTCTTGTCTACTTTTTTAGATACGTGGCTGAATTCCACAGATTCACAAGAGGAGATCCTTACACAACAGAAGTGGGCTACAGAAATTTAACTGTGACAGTTTACAGCAGATGGAATTGTGTCCCTAAGGTTTCAGACTCAGAAAAGAGCCTTATAACCCTCTAGCTGAACATTTTAATACACCCCACAAACATTTCACTAGTAACTTCTGCAAGAAGTCCTAACTTGAATTCAGCTTCTGTTTACCTTTGTTTTAGATGACACATAACGCTGGCCTATGTTTAATCAACACAAGGTATATTTCTTCTCTAACAGGCTGGACAGGTTTTTTTGTTTTGTTTTGTTTTCCCCAAATTAAGCTCCATACATTTTAATCAATTTCCAGTATTCCAATTTTGTTAGGGAGTGAAAAGATTACTGAAATACAAAAGAAACTAGAAGAGGAAGAGTTACGAGAAGAGAAGAGGCAGAGGGATGTAAAGAAAAACTACAGTGCAGACTTCATCAGCTGTACTACATCTGCGATCAGAAAGGCAGAGCTCAGAATAGCAGTCAGGAGGAAGTACAGCACATTTCAATCTGCGTAGGAATGCCGACTCTAGAAAGTTCACCAGGGAACAACGCTGGCATGTTTTCCTGATACGCTACATAAAGGTAACACTAAAGTACCTGGGGTCACCACAAGCATCATTATCTAGTACATGGTGTAAACAAGGAAGGAAGGAACTCTATCTTAGGTTTTGGATAGAGAAAACATCACAAATATTATATAAATTAATATTTAAAATATTGCTGGGTCCCGTTATCTCAGAGTAAGGGGATTTATGCCTGAATAAGTACTGGAAGACCTGGCCTTTTATTAAGCACACAAACAAACAAAAAAAGGATTTTCACTGATTCCAGGGATTGTGAAATCCAGTATGGGGTTTCTTTAACAACTATTACTCCAAGAATACTCTACAGTGGTGAGATAAATCCTTAATAAAAGTGAATACAGAAATGTTGCCTTCCTGTAATAACTTGGACACGTAGATGCTGAGTATTTTTGAATGTTTTTAATAAATTAGCTCTGATTCATAAGAAGAAATTTCTTGGACCTCATACAAAGCCTGACAAAAATAACTACGATGTAGGTAAGGTGTATGTTTGGGGTTGCAGTTCCATCTAGAAAGAAGCTATTTTGAAAGAGAGTTGAGATTGTTAGGCTCCTTCCATGTACACAAAGTGAAGTTTAGCTGCTGTTGGGGAATATGGCAGCACTTACAGTTGTCAGGAGGACTGCTAAATAGATGCTGGTAAATAGAGATTACTCCCATCATAAAGGACTGCTTGTGGTCAGATTTTGAACAGTGCTTGGTAGTGGTCATTTTGAAAAGCTCATCATAACTAAAAGATATTTCTTAAGACAGTTATTACACAAACATAGATGCAATAGGGTTGAGACAAACATCAAGTTTTATTTCTTCCAAAGGGAAGGAGTGACTTTAGTTTCACTATGGGCAACATGTAACTTATTTGGTTAATATATATATTGATGCTCACTTTAATAGATGTGCTCTTTCCTCCACTGAAATATGTAGTAACTTTAAAAACTAAATTACACATTATAAGGTTTTGTAAAAATATATTTCAGAAACCCTGTTAAGCTATAAGATGCAAAAATAGCTTAACTTATATAAAAATATAACCTTGGACTTAATACATAATTTTAAATTATTTATTTTAGATTTAGATCTACAAACAAAAGACTATTCTCAAAAATTAAACAGACTGAATTGCCCTAGATGCCTGAATTTCACTTTTCCAATTTTTTTTTTTATTTGTTTCAAATGCTGACTAGCAATCATATTAAGAGTTTACAGAGTCTAAAAAGTGTAGCCTTTATTTCACTGTTTGTACCTAGTTTGATGTCAGGCGTACAGTCTTGTAATTCATTACATTTAATGATCTGAAAAATAAACGAAGAGAAACTTTTGTTAGATTTGTGTAGAATATCCTTGTACAAAAAACTGTTTGTAAAAAATGAAAAACAAGCCTACCCCTAGTCCTATAATTAGATTTAATGGCTTGAATCCTTGAGAAGGCCCATTGATTTCAATAGAGCTCTGCATGAGAGCAAGAATCCACACTGGCAAACCTAATTGTAGCATTAAGGTCTGAATATCAGAAGATATTCAACTTTCTATTGGAAAGAACATATAGAATTGTAATTCAGGAGGAAGCAGATGTTTTGAAAAAGTATTTCCCACCACATTTCTTAAACTCTAGGAGCTGAGTTTCACACCCATAATAAATGCAGTTCACAATTCTCATTCCATTAAATTTAAGAAAATAAAGCAAAAAAATACATTCTTGGAAACTGTGAGGAGGAAAATAGTAGTGGAGAATTTTAAATACTAGTTTTAATTTCTCTCTGTGGAAATTCAGTTGGATTTGTGAATTTGTTCTGCCTTTACAAATATTTTAAATGAGCCCGTAAGTATTGTATCTGCAAGCACATAGTGATTCTTCAGTCACCTGCCTTTCAATTTTAAGACCTACTTCACATACAAGCTTTTTTTTTTTTCCCCCTCCAAAAAAAGTATTTAATTTGGAAACATGATCATTTAATCAGTTGGTAAAATAATAATTTGAACAATTACACTGATAAAGGCTACTCAATCAGTATACCATTATTTTTTCCTTTTAATAGCTTAAAAGGACTAGTGTGTGCATGGAAGGTTTTACCGTCTTGCATCAGTGATGCTAGTTACCAATGGTTTTGCTGTACCTATCTTCTTATTTTCAGTTAGTAATAAAAGGCAATGTGGAGTGATATGTAGCTTCTGTTTTGGCCTTTTCGGTGTAAATAAAAACTTCAAACTGTCTCTGCAACTTAAAAGGTGATTATGCAAATTCAGATACACGGTGAAATAATGAAATTAAACAGACCATGTATTTTTTAGCCTTCATATATCATAATGTAAAAGCCAAATCACAGATGTGAAACAGATTCCGCTAAAACAGTTTTTTTTCAAATACTAATCAAATACTCCTAAAATATTTCATGTTACTGCTGCGTATGCAAAAGAATGCAAACAAAAAAACAGAACCCACACACATACATCTATAGTTAGCTCTTCTACATGCAAGTCTTAGAAGTCTGTATTTGAAAGTGCTTTCTCTAAATAACTCTAAAGAGTAGTCTTGATTATTTGCTTGAATTATAATAGAAGTAAACAGAGAAAATAAGTTTATTCTAAATGTAAGTTATATCTCACTAAGATTAAAAAGTAATGAACTATGCGCTTACATACACCTATATACACATACATTCTGTACTATAACTATACTATTCCTTGCTAAAGGAATTTTAACATTACACAGTGATATGTTTATAGTTAGCATTACTTCTTTGAATATCATGGTTTCAAAAGCTTCTCAGGCTTAGGTTACCTAGTATTCTATTTGCCAGCAGAGGGAGCCAATTATATTCTATAAACATGGAGGAAAACAAAAACAAATTTTGTTTTTAACACAGAACATTCTAGTTCCTTTTTCGTTTAGCGAGTCAGAAAATATTTCAAAACTTATTTTAACACTTTTGAAGGTCACTAGGATACGTACAGCCTTTTAAAGTAAGGCTGTACAAATTTGAAATCTGAATTTACAAAAGAGAGCAGGATTACATCTTGAAAGCCAACTTCCCCATTCATATCTTATCCTTTCAATAATAATTAGTTTCTCATAAGGGAAAGAAAACCTAATTACTGTAATATAAATTTAATGAATTAGTTTTAAAAGATTCAATTACTTTGGACAGTAATAAACAGCTGTGCTAAGGACTTTTGGCTGACAGCATACACGAAACATGAACTTAAAGTGGCTTACCTTGTGACATTTAAAGTCATTATGCTTGTAATAGGTCTGCTTTTTGGTCCAGGAGGAGGATGAAAAATCTGTCCGCCTTTATTAGTTGTGACTGCTTTAGATTTTTTAATTACATAGGGGTCAGCAGAATGGCTTGGATAAGGATCAAATGTGCCTCCCTTCATGCCCCCTGGCTGAAAAAAAAAAAAAAAGAAACTTTTCAAAGTGTCAATCTATAACATAATTGAGTTAATTAAAATATTTTTCATGCAAAAATAAGCACGACTACTGCATAGCAGACTGCATCACCTAACATATAAAAAACAGAAACCACATACTGCTTAAACTTGCATCAGAAACTCTTAGGAAAAATTTAGTAATTATATTGATGACTGCTTGATTTAAAACATTCTTTTATAAGTCTCCTGATTTATGAAGAAAAGGTCGCTGAAGTGTGATGGAAAAAGTAAAAACATAGCCACAGCATAATAGTTCATTTTAGTGGGTTAAAAATGGAATTGTTAAGTCTATTAGTTCACTATAACAACCCCATGTCCAGAACAAGTTTACAGAGTGTTACAAAAGGAAAGGCTTGGGCATTATTATCAATGTATTTTCTGACCTATAGGATTGAACAGAGCATTGGCTTTTCCTGTAACATCATGCCCAGTAGTACTACAACAGTGGAAAATTTTAGTTGAAAGGTCTGTAGAGACCGTCTTAATTCTGTGCTGCAATCCCCTAGTAGGGCTAAATGCCAGAGTCTGTTCAGAGTCTGCACTCCTGAAAAGTGCAACATAAGTGATGCAATGAATCAGTTGAAACAAGTGAAGACATTTTCCCATAAGAATTTATATAGCAAAGAGGGAATGTGCAGTAGCCTCAGAAGCACATACAATTTAAATAGTCAGGGACAGTATATACAGCGTGAAGGATGAAGAGCCAGGAGTAGGACCAGCAGCATTGTTAGCCAGAGGACAGGCTGAGTTTTCAGCAGCTGACTGTTTGGAATAGATCAGCATTCCTAAAGATCTCAGCTGCCTCATCTGTAGATGAGGCTGAACACTGCACAATGTATGCATAAGCACTCTTGCTGCCTCTTTCTGAATACTTATATTTTCATCACTGGCATCATCTTCCTAAGATGAATCAAGGTCAATCAAATCAGTCACGGATGAAGGACAGAATAATCGGAAAATGGTGGCTGGCAGAGCACAGTACTAAACAATTGCAAATGGAACTCCAAAATGAAGAGCAGAAAAGTGACAGACTGAAGAGGTGTTACTCTATTAGGTATTTAGAGTCATTTAAGAGAGATATCTACGTATCTTAAACCCGTTTCAAAATGACATTAAGATTTAGCCTAAGCTGTATGGTGTCTTAGTATCTCATCTCAAAAAAAGTAGATCAAGAAACATAAAGGACATGAAGAATACGTATTTTTCTTGTTTTATATAATGCAAGAATCCCCACTTAGATTTTAAGAAATAACAATACTAAGTAACTGGACTAATGAAGGATGATTTCCTTTGCATCATCTGTTCCTACATATCCCCTCACAGTAATTCCAGGCTTCGTTTCTTATGTCTCCCCAAGCCCTCCCACCTATATTTATTCCCATCCCTCCACTCCTTTTCTCCTAACTACTCAAGAGGTAGCAAATTTGAAGCTGATTCCAAATCTGTATCTGCTGGTAGACAAATACGAGTTTATTTTGCAGCCTTTCCCTGAGACTCCCTTCTGCTGAGTCTTTCTGCTCCTTCTGGCCGTGCATTCCTATGACGCTTCTAGGATCTTTGTCTAAATAGGCTGAGAGTAATCAACAGGTTCAAAAATGATACAGAAGCAACTGATAGAGGGAGTCCAAAATAGAAGCACATTTCATTTTGCAACAGTAATCCGGCTTTACTGTCATTGATTGCATAACCTTCCACTTTGCATCTTTTTTCCTGCCATTATGCAGTCAATTGCTGTATGTTAACAACACTATGCAGATTTTTAAAGAGAAACACTTTTCAAGCTACTTAAAACTGGCTGTCAGTCCTCTTTGGTATTAGGTTAGGTCAAACAGCATTTCATTGCTATGTAAACTGAAAACAAAGTAAACTAAAGAGTACCTCTTGTATTTTCCCCGGTAAGAAAGTAATAGCAAAACCAAACATTGAGTTCTGTCTTTATGTACTCTAAGCAAAGCTTTTAGCAGGAAACGCCTGAATAGTTAGTTTCCTTTTGTATCTGGTAGCTACAAAATAAACTAACCTTTTTAGCAGGAGAACTTGGTTTAAAAGGAGGTGCAATTTTCTTCTCTGGAGGTTGTTTCTTCACTGGTGGCAAAGGTTGGTCACTAAAATAGGGATTCATGTCAAAATACTCCCGTGGATAGAGATTTAACTTGAAAGGCCCTCCTTTAACCAAACGCCGATGTTCCTCTCGTGCTTTCTGTAAAAGAAGTACTTTGAGAAAAATAATCTTGAGCATTTTTATTGCTTATTATTCACATAGGAGAAAAATAAAAAGCATTTAAATTCAGTCTTGGAGAACGCTCACTGTAACTTTCTTTGCTATTGTTTCATCAAGGTATTTTATACACCCACCGTGTATAACAGAACATACAGAGACATTGACCAGGAAGCACAACAATCACTAGGATATTATGGCAGGAAAATGCTTGGAAAAGCACTGTACATTTAAGATGCATCTAACCATACTGTGTACCTGTATCTTGGGCATGCATGTGTACATACACGCTTGAAAATCCTGCTTCCACACATCCCAACTGCATACAACCCTGGCCATACTGCCACTACATTTATGTGGGCTTAATGATATCTGAAAACATCTCCCACACTCTGAGCACCTCATCAAGTTGAGTTCCTCTAAGAATTGGTTCATTTTAACATGGGAGTTGTTGACTGTTCTTCCTAGATTCCATTTTTAAATGAAATAGGCTAAAACTAACATTACAAACAATTAGAAGGTGTATGACATGTATCATTAGTAATACAGTATCACTGTGGTGATTCATGCTAATGTCTCAGAGCACTCTAATTCCCTATCATTCTCTCTGCCCAGATCATAAGAAACAATCCTGCATCCCTCTTTTCTCAGTGCTTCTCACTATCGGCACTGGATGCTTAATTTTGACTCTGAGTTTGCCTCAGGTGCAGGTACCCAAGTTGCTCCTTCCGATCTTGTTTTTATCGCAGACCAACAAATATCCATCTGCTGCCATTTCTCACTACAAATGATGAAGATACATGGGTTAACTAAAATCAGTGCAAGCAAGTTTAGTAGCTTTCTTAGATTTATCATCTTATGTGGTAAAAAGGAATAGTTTTGTTCTTATACAACATCTAGCATAATAAGGCCCTATTCTACTTATAACAAGGTAGAAGTAGTATTGTTGTTCTTGCCATTGGAGTTATTTGGTCATTATTACAACTGTTGTTTAAGGTCTCTAATAAATAAAAAATTAAGGTCAAGTCCTGAATGGTGGGACTTGGGCAGGATATTCCCTGTTGTCTAAGAGGAAAAATCGTAAGTTAACGATAACCAATTTTGTTTACAGGTTGACGATTAATTTGTTTTCCTCCCCCTACTTTCTAAATAAACACTGGTCACTCCAAGCAAAGAAAACACCACAGGGAAGAAAAAGTTCATGGAAATTGTAATAAATAATCATTGCACTAATATGTAATAAAGACAAATATTTTTACCTTTGCATCTATTCTTCCTGCTTCATACACTTCAGGTGCATGAGGATATTGTTCACCTATGGTAACGTTTACATATCTGTAAAAAGAAAATGAATGAATAAGAAGTTAAAAAAAAAAACAAAAACAAAAAACAAAATCAGGAAACATATCATAAAATACTTGAGAAGTCACCCATATCCAGTTCCTTTCTTTCCTGGATTAGTATAAAAATTCTTTCCAGGAGCAGTATATTTTTCTTTGGCTTTCAGTTGCGCACTGAAGTATGCATACGGACCTCCTATGGTTCCATAATAGCTGCCCAGTCCACATCTAAAAATAGCAAATAAACACATTAATTAATGCTTTGCAAATATTTTGAGCTTTCCAGATCCAGTGTGCTAAAATGATGCTAAGTACAAAACCCAAACAAATAACATCTCAAGAAATAAATATAAGACTTCACTTCATATCCACTGTGCATGGATCCATTACTACAGCAATTCTGTGTACAGCATTATGGACACAGAAGAAACAGATGGCAGCAAAGATGAAGTTTTGAGTTTCCTTAATAACACAGATAGGCCTAACAAAATTTGACTTTTGCTTTTGTTTCAGTTTTGCCCCAAAAAGACAAAGGAACATTGGTAGACACTGATTCACAAACAATACAAATACATACTCACAGTTCACCGCAAACATACTGGATTGACAGCCATCCAGAGCAATAGGTTCAACAGAGTTGGTGCTTGATGATAAGAGGGTGGTCTTGCCCACAAGTTTACAGAGAACAGTAATTTAATGTCCTTATGATAATGGAATGGCAGGCCACATGGGTTACCTGTCTGAGAGATTTTTTTTTTTTTCCTGGACATGGCTGGTGATGTTAAGGACTGGCTATCTTTCTGTCTTGTCACAGAAGGAGAGTAGAGAGAGGCACAACTCACTTCGGAGAAACACCTCAGCCTGTAATGCTGCAGGAGTTCACAGACTGTTTTTTAAAGATCAACCTGAAAATCAGCATCTGTTGGTAGTGTACGATGTTCTCTCAAAGTACACAGTCATATAGCCACCAAAGGATAAAAGGACCAAGACAAATAAACTGATGAAATAGCTGGAATGGCAATTTTGTCCACTAAGCTGCAGCTACAGAGGTCAAAAAAGCCCATAAATAACAAAATTTGGGTAAACTGACAATGCACAGACAAACTTCATCTTGGCATTTCCTAGCTTTTAAGTGCTTTGCAAACTTCGTGATATTCTTTAAATGTCACCTTTGCATGTAGCTTTTTATATACCAGTAACATAACGACAGGGTACAGGCAAATGAAGAAAATAAAGGCCCAGACTTCAGTCACATCTGCAGCACATGGCATCTTTGCAACCTCTGAATTTGCAGCCAATAACAAATCTGGCTCCAATGTAAGCAAAAGATTTCCAAGAGCTGCTTATCGTTCAGGCAGCCAAGAATAACAGTGGTGATACGGCTCCACTCTAATTCCTTAGTTACACTGGGAGCCAGTTTTGGACATAGGAAACCTATAATCACTCTCCATAATTGCTTGAGGATTTCATTAATAAGACAGTCTAACCACCTTTCCAGCCTCTGCTTTGTGCTACTCTGCCAGTACAGATTTAGGAGAGGATAAAGAACCTGTCCTAAAGTTCATATCTAGAAGAACTCAGGAGCCTTACAACAAGCAAAAGAGCGTGAGCTGCTGTACCCGGAGCCAACAAGAGTGATTGTGGAGACGATCTGTGGAGGAGGGCGCCTTGGCAGGTCTTTGTTGTAAGCAACTCAGTGAAGAGAGCAGGACTCCCACAGTTCAACTCAGAACCCAGAAAGTGAACAGGACTGACATCAACTGACATGAAATTGAAATTAGTGCCTAGGTGTTTCTGGCAGCTAACTCCTACTACATCATTTGGTTGCTATAGAAGATAAGTTGTAGTTGAAAAACTTTTGAACATTGGGCTCATCCATTTTCTTTTCCATCGAAAATAGCGCGCACACATCCAAGCAAGCTCACGCATGCTTTCTTACTTTCATATTAATAACTAAGATGTTTCTGTAACGTATGACAGAAGATAGCTAATCCTTGCTCCCTGAAATATAACTACACAAAATACACAAGAGGTACACTCCAAACTTTCCAAATGCAAAGCTGTAGAAAGATGTGACTAAATTTAACCATAAGACTATAAAAACCAGGCCCTGTACATATACTTAATCCTCTTGCAGTAGCTACAAGAACAAGAATGTATAGTTGTAGATGAATAACTCATCTCTGTTTCTTGCGTATGAATAAGATATTTGAAATAAATTGCATCGGCATCATTTTGTCATGCAATTAATGTGCAAATAGCAAAGACATTTACTTGAATATTATTCTTCATATACGCCTTAGCTCTGTAACATCTTCTGATCATCCTAAGATTATCAGTATTTTTTCTAGCAAAAAGATAACACATATGGATTCTGTAAGAGGCAAAAACCCACACCTAGTTAATAGCCCATTTTCCTGATGCTTTTGCAATTATATACTATCTCTATTTTGGCTCAGAAGTGGAAGGGAGAAGATACTGTATCTGACAAGGGCCAACAGACTCCCTCCTAAACTAAAACAAAATATTCATTTATTAATTATCTACACCCTTTTCCCACATCCATCTTCATTTTCATTGAAAATAAAAAGCTAAAAGGTGAGAAAGCTGTTCACAGCAGCAGACAGATACATAAACCCATAGATCAAACCAAGCACCAGGAACTGATTTCTATGAGCATCCAGCCTTCCCTTATCTCCAATTATGTGTTGCTACTCATAGTTATTCACTCCGTACTGTGATCAGCACTGTATCATACATATCTTTCCAAAAGAATAATATCATACTCCCACTACAGGTTTTATTATTTACTGGTGAAAAGTTATCTTTAACGTACAGGAAAGAAAAATATTTAAACATTTTCACAACACTTACGGCAATTTGTCTCCATTACTGGGAAGGAAAGCTCTGCCCAAATTTTTCTTTGATTCTGCCAATCTATAGCGCCTCCTTAGCTGAACAGGATTTGAGTAGGCTTCACCATCGAAAATCCTCACAAACTGAGGCTCAAAATAACCTGCCTGAAGAGCTGACAATGTTTTGGTCCCCCCAGGTAACATCTGTCTGTTCTTGCTTGCAGCTTCATTAAAAGGGCCTTTAAAAAAGTAAGCACTGTAAACAATCATTTGATGCCATTGTTTCTCTTAGCCTACATTCAAAAATGAAGTTCTGCATCTGGGTGGTTCAAAGCGCTTGTAATGCAGTACACAGTGTTTCACTTGTAAATCATATGTTGCAACTAGGTGTGTTTGAAAGAGAACACTACCGGAAGGTATTCACAGTATCCAGTTTTAGCTTTAATGCCTACACTTGCTTTATAAGCAATGGAGCTTGGTTACATTACACTGGTGGCTCAGAGCTGGAGCAGAAGCCCATTTATGCACTACCAGTAATACTTCAGAGAAGCATCTCTTGCCCATCAATTATAGAGGGAGACCAAGTAGCCTAGTTAAGCGCCTTCAGTTGGGTGTTCTGAATCCACAGCAGCTGAGTGTAGTAGAAGTGATGGGCTGCTAATTTGGTTCTGGTGGACCTGTTCATCACTGACAAAACATCACAGCAGAAATATCTGTACTGAGAAGGCAGTGTTATTTTGTGGTACTGCTTCAAAGGGGCTACTGAGGGTCAAAGTCTGTCACCTTACTATTTACATAAATTATCTTTCTCAATGAGTAATCCTATTGAACAACAATAAGAACAAAAGAATCTATTCAAAAGAAAAAAAAGGTGAAGGGGAACTCGCACATAAGTCAGATCAGAACACACAAAAATTGCGGCACAAAATTAAAAATGACAGTGTAATTTTATAACAGAAAACCTGCTGAGAGAGCACTCAAAGGAAAAGATTGTTTTTCACAACAGCACAGTCCCTTGTAATTTGCAGATAATTTTTAGGATATATATTTCTTTTTAAAATTAATTTTGATGAATCTACTATGCATACGTATTTTTCAGTTTTGCAGTGGATTTTTCCTTTCTTCAGTATAGTATTTCAGCATATCAAGCATTTCGCTGAAAACCAATCTGAGGAAAGAATATGTTTGAAAAGGCAGTTGCCTCCAAAAGAAAATTAAGTCTTTCTGAAAGCAGATGGATACCAGAGGTATTCCTATGGTTAAATAGCGATTGAAATTAGATGTACTTACGCATATAATGTGATACATATCTATCTCCAATGGTAATATAACCCATTTCACTGAAGAGGCCAATCCTCTCCATATCACTTTTTCCATCTGCAGGCATGGTTGGATCTGTGTGACAGCACACTGCACCAAAAAAGGTAGAATTCTTCTCGTTCTCCTGTTCCACTATGAACGGCTATAAAAAGTCAACACCTGCGAACAAAAAAAAAAAAATTTTAACTATTTAAAGTAAAATGCATGGAATTTTGGTTAAAAAATGCTACCAATAAATGTAATCTGAGGAAAGTGATTGGCAGCTTTGGGGCTCACAGGACAAATGAACTATGTGGAATTTAGACAGCATTATAATATTTCTTTTACTAAACAAATTCAAAGTATCGGAGAGAGAAAATCAAATTTGTTAGTAATAAAAGTGGTGCAACTCTTACTGAAGTTACATAGTTTGGGTCAAAATTTTAAAATCTGTATCTTCATAGTATTAAGGTCAGAGTTTTTGGTGGCATTAATAGCTATTAACAAAATACGCCAAGCAGTCTCCCTCTTCATCTAGTGGGTGATTTCTAGCAATGGTTTTCACTCACTTTCTAATAATAGCATAGAAGGACAGGATATAGACAAGTCTGATGTAAACTATAACAGTGGAACTTGGAAGCCTTTTAAGCGCAATCTAAGATCTGTTCATGGTAAATACCTCCAATTGCTTGTTTATTTTAATGCAAATAACTTACAGTAAACTTGAGCTTTTTCTCATCATCACCCTCGTTTGGGCCTGACAAAACTAAGGGAAACGCATAGTCAACAAGGCTAAGGAACTCAGAGAGACTTGGATACAGGATAGGTTTAGCACTAAAATTACTAGGGATCTGACTCACACAATGAAAACTAGTGAAAATAGGAATCAGAATCAGCTGGAGGAAGAACTGCCTTGAGAAGGAAGCTAACAATACGTGGTGAATTCACTGGGGATGGAAATTACAACAGAGGAAGCGGTTAACCAGCTAGGAAAGCTGGTTCTTGAAAGTCATGAAGTGTAAGAATTGCTAAAAAATTATGACTGTGCAAATGTTATAAAACAAATAGCTGTAGTTTTTCTATCCTTACAGCTGATGGGAGAACAAGGAAGTTAAGTCATTATAGTGGAATATGGATTAAAGACGTTGCAGGTAAAGTCCCATATAGTATTAGTTATGGGGACAAAGGCAAGATGGAAATGACTAAGGTAGGAAAAAAAAAACTCAGAGAGATTACTATCAGACTCTAGCTGTACCTGGCATGTGGGGTGCCAGAGTAGAAAAGTGGCAGCAGCACAGCACTGGACATATATAAAATACTGATGCTAGAACATGGTGTATGATGGAAGGGGCAGAAGCATTCTTCTCACACTCAGCACACAGGACCCGACAAGACAAGCAGTATGCAAAAGTTTAAGAAACTGTCTGAAGTGTTTATTTTTTTTTTTTGCAACATGGGGAGGTTCACATAAAGACAATGTAAAATGTGATATATGTTCATCAGTTAAATAATGCTAGACTAAACTCCATATTCTTCCTTAACTGTTGGTAGAACTACAAATTGGGTAAGGAACTGCACTAAAGTACAGGCAACAACAAATGAGGCTGGAAGAAGAGATGAGAGCCCACCCTTGGAAACCCCTGGAGTTTGCTGTTACGAAACTACGTGGCATTATCAGTGACAAGGATAGGAATAATGTATTGAAAATAAATAGACCAGGAATGAAATTCTGCAGTGCAAAATAAAGGTTACTGATTTAGGGATTAATGGGAAGAATGTCTACTGTAATCTCAGCAGTTTGGAGAGAAGAAACGAGGCAGACTAGCCTAACTGTGCATTAGCAATATTGCGTAGCAACCGACAGGTAAGTACGATCCTGAAGAGTCTTGCAAGGAACGTCTGGGTAAGGTGAGGAAGTATTAATACCTTGCTACCACCAAGCGACAAAACATAAGCTAGAGTATTACATGAAATTCTGGTGGCCCAAGTTAAAGGAAAAGCCACTCAAAACAGACCCCGTGTAGTTTAGCAAAGCAAAAGCCTGACATGGCATAACTGCCCTCACAGACGTCTGAGGAGGAAAAGGGGTTAATCATGCTGACAGGCAACGGTGGCACAGAACAAACAGTACAACAGGCCACTAGTAAATTTGGGCTGGAGATCAGAAGGGCTCCTAATCTTGACAGTGAGGAGATACCAGAGGAACTCCTCGATAAAAGTAGGGCAGCAGAAAAAGCAACTACTGCCGAGGCGAAGTTTGGGTTACTCGTGAAAGGGGCGCAGCCGTGAGAGCAGAAACCGAGGTAAGCCTTCATCCTTGAGAAGGACACCAAGAGCACATCTGTTTAGAGAGAGCGACACAGACAACGCAAAGCCACAAGCGAGGAAGACGCACGGATATGACACGGCGCACATAACCAGCGCTTCTCACGCCACCGTGCGCAGGCACGGCCGCGGGCTCCTCCCTCACACAGGCTACGAAAAGCCGGTGGACAAGCAGGGAACCGCGCGG